CGCACCACTGCACTCCAGCCTGGGCGACAGAGCGAGACTCCGTCTCAAAAAAAAAAGAACATACATCTGCCCGGGGCCTCAGTGTTGCTGTTCATGAATGGGCTGATCCCCTCCTCCAGCTGTGTTGGGGAGCCCTTTAAAACAGAACAGAGTCTGGCTGGGTGTGGTGGCTCACACCTGTAATCCCAGTACTTTGGGAGGCTGAGGTAGGTGGATCACCTAAGGTCAGGAGTTCAAGACCAGCCTGGCCAACATGGTGAAACCCCATCTCTACTAAAAATACAAAAATTAGCCAGGTGTGGTGGTGTGCGCCCGTAATCCAAGCCACTCTGGAGGCTGAGGCAGGAGAATTGCTTGAACCCGGGAGGTAGAGGTTATAGTGAGCCGAGATCGGGGCTTTGCACTCCAGCCTGGGTGACAGAGCAAGACTCCGTCAAAAAAAAAAAAAAAAAAAAAAAAGAGGGAGAAAACAGAGCTCTACGTACTCCAGGTTTGCTCAAACCCTTGTGTCCCAGCCCAAACCCTTTAGTCCTCAGGCCAAGGCATGGTTGGTACCTGCCCTGGGAGGAGCGGTGTAAGAGGGTCAGGGGTGTGGAGTCAGGGACATAGAAATGCTGTCCCTTGTTCTGTCTTTGGCAGTCAGTCTTGGGGTGACTCTAGTGGGGTTGAGGCCATGTCTCACCCCAGTCCACCCACAGGGTGCTCACAGTGGCCATCCATAGCTGGATGTGTGCCCTGTGCTCTCCGCCTGGGGCTGCATTTCTCCCTGCCTCCAAGACCAGTCTCCCTGGGCTTGAGCAGGGCTTCTTTTTTTCCCTCTGGAAACTCCCCAGGCTGAATCATGGAAATCAGAGACGGAACACCCTCCCTTCCACCCCACTGCCCGGCTTGGTTCAACCACCATAGCCTGTGGTCTGCTTTGCGCACCATCAGCCTGTCTGCCTATTTTGCCTCACTTGGAGGCCAAGGAGACCAGCCCACCAAGGTGGTGGGGAGGGGGCAAGTCGGGGGTGTCAAGTGCTGCATGGAAGCGTAGAAAGTGGTGCATTGAGCCAGGATGTGCAGCTCTGCTGGGCTGGTGTTGGTGGTCCTGAAACACAGCCTCTTCCACAAGCCTCCCTGGGTAGGCAGGATGGCTGCAAGGCTGGTCAGCCAGCAAGGAATAGAGGGGGGATGGTACCTTGGTCAAACCCTGCCCTTGGTAGTGGTGATGGTTGCATAACTCTGTAGATTTACTAAAAGTCATTAAATTATATGTATACTTTAATGTGGTAGAATTTTATAGTATGTAAACTATACCTCGATAAAACCATTTTTTAAGAATCCTGCCAGCCAGGCGCAGTGGCTCACGCCTATAATCCCAGCAGTTTGGGAGGCCCAGGTAAGAGGATTGCGTGATCCTCATAGGAAGACCTCATCCCTACTAAAAAATTTAAAAAATAATAATAATAAAAATGCTGCCCTTGGCCTCAAGGCTCTGCACAGTTGGGACCCTGTCAGCCTCACAGACATACCTCACGCCCACTTCCCCGCCTGCCTAGGCTCTCTTTCATGCCTTTGTCCCCTCTCGTTGCTTCTCCTTATCCTTAACTCTCAGCCTAGCAGTCCCTTCCTCCAGGAAGGCCCCAGATAGTTCACTGTGTCCCCTTCCGGCTCTTGTTTCACACTGGTTCATGTGACTATGGGCCCAGCTCCTGTGTGCTCCTGGAAGACAGTGCTGGAGTCTGAGTCTGTGCTCTGCTGTCTCTCCGGTATCATAAGGTACAGGGCTGCTCTCCGGGTACGTGCAGGGAAGATGTGTGCAAATGAATATCTAGAACATCCAGCTGTGGGCCACCTGTGTACATGTCTGTATGCAGATGGCACCATCTCATCCCAGGATGTCCCCTCCTTCCCAGTGCTTTCTGGCCCAAAAGTTCAAGATTGAACCCTGCAGGGGGTGAAGTGAGGCTCTTCTAGGGCTGAGGGTTGAATAAGGGCACTGCCACCACCTCCAGTGACCTCACTACCAGCTGGCATTATGATGTCACTGGCTTAGCATTCCGGGCCCTGGGCATCTCCAAGTCCCCCAGGTGGGGGCACTCTCCTGGGGTCTGTGACAGCTTGCCCCCAACCACGGAGAGGTGACAGGCACGGTAACAATCCTGGGGATTAAGAGCAGCCTTAGGGGTACCTAGGTCACCTGCCGTGGGCCACTTTGTCAGTTGCCAAGGTGGCCACAGAGCAGGGTGACTAACACTTGGGCTCTGGGTTCAAGCTCTACCCCTGCTAGGCACCAGCTGTTTGACCTCAGACTGACAGCTTGAACCTCTCTGAGCCTAAATTTCCTCATGTCTGAAATTGGCAATTAGTTTTTGTCTCCCCAGGTTCTAGGGAGGCATTCAGGAGCTAAGACTTGTAAAGCATAAAAACACAGGGCATGGGACACAGTGGATACTCAGTAAATGCTAGTTGATAGGGTCCATTGGTTAAGGAAACCGGAGTGGCAACACAGGTGGTGGGGGCTGGCTAGAAGGGGGCAGGCTCCCTGCCTTCTGGGGCTGGCCAGAGCCTTAGGGTAGAGGCATGGGGTGGCCTATACTGCCAGGAGGGTGGCCCCAGGTATGACTCTCCCTCTCTTTCCAGCTCAGCCAGTGAGCTGGAGCCTACAGGAGGCATTGGGCCCTGCAGCCATGCTCTGGGGTCAAGAACCCATTGCCCCACCTCCTCCTCAGCCCTCCTCCCCAGCCTCCTCCCCACCTTCCCCCAAGCCCTCCTCCCCACCTCCCCCCAGTCCTTCTCCCCACCCTCCTCCCCATCTCCTCCCCACCTCCTCCCCACCTCCTCTTCTCAGGCCTTGGGCTACACAGTGGGTCTGATCTGGTGTCCTCGGCACTTCTCCTCTACCCTTCCCTCTGCGTCCCTCTCCTATGGGCATGCCCAGCTGCCTTCTGGGACTCCCTCCTCAAGGCTGTTTACTTGTCTTTTAGACCCTTAAGTCCCTGAGCCTAGACAAGGTGTCGTGGGTCCCTGGGTCTCTGAACCCTGTTGCCCCAGACACTGCTTCCCATGACACTGTCTCCACTAACCTTGACCCTCTGCCCCCTCCTCTCGAGCTCTCCTTTTCTCTGACCCACCCCTCTAGTTCTCTGTCTCAAGATTCTGCCCCCACCACCTGTCTCTGTTCTGCCCCCACATGCCCCTCTGCCCCCCAGCTTTCCGTAACTTGTCCCCCCCTCAGCCCCCCGTGCTCTGTCCCCGCCCGTCAGCCCCTGGTCCCAGCGCCCGGCTGGCCGGCTCCTGCATGGACAAAGGGGTCCTTTGTGGGCTGACCGCGGCTGGCGGGGCGGCGGGGCGCTGGCTCCGCATTGCTGATGAAACGGAGCCCTTTGTTGTCCCTCCTCAGGCGCAGTATTTCTTTTTGGGGGCTGGATGCGTTCCTGGCAGGGCCGATGATGGATGCGCCCGCCGCCGCCCGCCTGCCCGCCAGCTTTCCCTCCCGCTCATTCCCGCTCTGCTTCAACACAGCCCTGACTCCTCCCCTGCTGCCTGGGCACTGCCAGGCCCTTCCTGGCCTGGAATGGGGTGGCTGTGCGCCCTAGAGTAGAAGGCTGGGACCTGGGAGAACGTCCCCTCTATGTCCTCCCCTTCCATGAGTAGGGCAAATGGGATTTTTGGTCAGTGGTCCACTGGGACCAGGGCATCAGTTTTTCCTAAGGTCTGAAGGAGAAGATGAGCCAGGTACCAGGGCCGATTTGGAACAAGCTTGAGGACCAGATGTTCATGTCTGTCCACTCTGGATTTGAAAACAGAGTTGTCCCTGTGAGCCAGTCCCCCTGTGTACCCACCTCCCTCCTACTTCTGTGACTGAAAAACCATAGTGTTCTGCCTGCAGCACCTGTTTGGTGACATATCACATCCTCTGGTCCCAAGCTCAGCATGTCCCAGGACCTCAGAGGGTGGGGGTGGGTGGGCCCTGAGGAAGGACAGAATAGTGGAAGATCAGAGAAATTCCAAGAGAGGAGCAGAACATGAGGTTTGGTCCCCACCAGGAGAGACTCAGGACAGAGACAAAAGCTGAGACATTCAGCCAGAGCGCCAGCCCTGAGCGCAGGCTGGCTGTGTTGGAGGGAGCTGACTTCTAATTGACCTGCCCGCCCCGCACGCAGAGCCAGATCCTGGAGCTGGGAGGAGGGAGGGGGCGAGCGAGCAGAGCAGGAGCAGCGTTAATGCAGCTATCGATTTCTGCCACCAGCCAGCAGGCCGCAGAGGCGGGGGATGCACACAGGGTCTGGGGCACAGCCTGCCCTCCTCCCCATCACGCCAGCCCACAAGACACCTGCCTTCTGCCTTCTCCCCTCACCCAGTATCTGGGCTGCCGGCGTTGTCATCCGGGGCAGGGCAGATGTGCTTAGTTGAGCAGGAGCTGGATGAGCTGACTTGATGGTTTCTGTCTCTGATCTCACTGACCCTGGTCCCCAACACCTAGCCAGAGTCACTGATTCCTGTAGGGGTCACCAATCTCTAAGGAGAGGGGCTGAAAAGACCATCCTGGTCTTGGCCCTTATTAAGTGGGAAGGAACACAGCTATCCTTGGACACACATGGTCTTCTTGCTTCAGCTCTGACCTCTGATGCCCCCCATCCCAGCATGGATTTTCTGCCAGGGCCCCCCGGCTCTGTCCTGGTGGAATCTGCCAGCTTGCCCAGCTCTTCCTCCCCACCCATTTCCCTCTGCAAGGAAGGAGCCCTAGGTGGTTCGGTGCCCACTGGGGAGGGAGAGGGAGTACCTGGCTGTTGATGCCAGCTACTCTTCTTACCCTAGAGACAGAGCTTTTCCTTTCCCCACACGCAGTCCTCTTTGGCCACTCCTTAGTCCTGGGGAAGCCTCCCTCTCTCCTACTTGGGGGCCTCAGTTTCCCCCTCTGTAAATGCAGAGGGTTGGACTAGATGCTCTCTTGGGACAGGCTTGAGTCCTGTGACTAGGGGGGTGGTGGGGTTGCCTGGGGACAAAGATCCAGTGTGTGCTGCCCTCAAGCCCAGGGCGCAATGGGGCCCGCCAGATGTGCGCCTCCCCCTTGAGCCGCCAGCTGCTCTGGGGCTGGGCCCTGTCCTCCCACCCCTCTCCTGGGGGATGCTAGGCCACAGCAGGCAGACGGAAGGGAGGCTGGAGAGCCAGGACTGATGAGGAAACCGCCGCCCTGCTCCATCTGGCCCAGTTCCTTTAGCTGAGGAGGCAGCTCAGACGCCTTAGCCTTGAGACCTGAGTAGAGCAGGCCCTGTCCCATGAAGGGCTGCCTCGGAAACGTGGAGGTGGCCAGAGGACAGGTTCCTGCTGGGCTCCACTCCCTTGAGGGTCATGCCTACTCCTCAGTGCCAGCCTGCCCCAGCCAGAGGCCCCTGGGTTCTCACTGAGGCAACAGCCCACCCCGGCTCTCTGGGTTCTCACTGAGGCCTCCACCCAGGCCCTACTCTGCAGGCCTTGTGAGGCCTCGGCCCCCCCCAATCTGGGAGCGAGGCCAGAGCACCACAGTGAGGCCTGAGTAGAGACAAGAATGGGGTCTGAGACGATAATGATTGTGGTTCGGGGGTTGAGGAGGAAGTGTGTGCCAGGGTATGCACAAGCATGTCCTCTCACTGTGGCAGGGGACGGTTTGTCCTCTGGCCCTGTGCTGCTCGCCCTGTAGGAGGGGAGAAGATCCCTGAAATAAGTGTTCTGCACTCATTAGCAAACTCTGGGTTACACAAAGGCAACCAGGTTCCTTTGCCTGCAGGACATGTCAGAGCCTTGAAATAACTGATGTGTATTAGGAATCCCCAGATGAGGATTCAGGGGCCACCTTCCGGAGTGTATAATCTGTACCATTAAGCACTCTTCCCCTCGGACAGAGAAGGAAGATTAGGATGTGGAGGTAGTTTTTTGTTTTTTGTTTTTTGTTTTTGACAGGGCTTCACTGTCACCCAAGCTGGAATGCAGTGGCATGATTATAACTCATTGCATCCTCAACCTCCTGGGCTCAAGCAGTCATCCCATCTCAGTCTCCTGAGTAGCTGGGACTACAGGCATGTACCACCACACCTGGTTAACTTTTGTATTTTTTGCAGAGATAAGAGTTTCACCATGTTGTCCAGGGTGGCCTCAAAACTCCTGAGCTCAAGCGATCTGCCTGCCTCTGCCTCCCAAAGTGCTGAGATTACAGGCGTGAGCCACTGCACCCAGCTAATAAGCATCTCCAACACTCTCCCACCCCAGCACGAGGAGGACTGCCTGCTTCCGGCAGGTTTTCCTAGACCCTAGCAGGGCAGATTTGGGCTGCGGAGGCCTGGACTAGGGCCTCCACCCTGCCACTTGGTGTCTGTGCGTTCATAGAGTGGTAGTTCTCCTAAATCTTGTTTCCATCATCTATAAAGTAGAGAATTACCAGCCACTGCTTCTAGAGTTCTTGTGGATCTTAACTGAGATAGTACAAATAAGAAATTTCTCACCAGGGTGGATCTGATGATTAATAAATGCCTGGTCAAGCTCATGGTGGTCAGGATGACAGGACAGTTGATAGTGGCGGTGGTGGCGATGTTGAAGAGGGAGGTGTTCACTGCTGCCCTGACCCTATATCCTCTTGTTGTGACAGAGTGAAGACATTTCCACCTGGACACCTGACCATGTGCCTGCCCTGAGCAGTGAGGCCCACCAGGCATCTCTGTTGTGGGCAGCAGGGCCAGGTCCTGGTCTGTGGACCCTTGGCAGTTGGCAGGCTCCCTCTTCAGCAGGGTCTGGGCCTCGGCCCCACCATGTCGAGCCTCGGCGGTGGCTCCCAGGACACCGGCGGCAATAGCAGCAGCAACACCAATGCCAGCGGTGGCAGTGGCAGCAGTGGCCCAAAGGCAGGAGCAGCAGACAAGAGTGCAGCAGTGGCTGCCGCTGCACCAGCCTCCGTGGCAGATGATGCACCACCCCCCGAGCGTCGAAACAAGAGCGGTATCATCAGCGAGCCCCTCAACAAGAGCCTGCGCCGCTCCCGCCCGCTCTCCCACTACTCTTCTTTTGGCAGCAGTGGTGGCAGTGGCAGTGGCAGTGGCAGCATGATGGGCGGGGAGTCTGCTGACAAGGCCACTGCAGCTGCAGCCGCTGCTTCCCTGTTGGCCAATGGGCATGACCTGGCAGCGGCCATGGCAGTGGACAAAAGCAACCCTACCTCAAAGCACAAAAGTGGTGCTGTGGCCAGCCTGCTGAGCAAGGCAGAGCGGGCCACGGAGCTGGCAGCCGAGGGACAGCTGACGCTGCAGCAGTTTGCGCAGTCCACGGAGATGCTGAAGCGCGTGGTGCAGGAGCACCTCCCGCTGATGAGCGAGGCGGGTGCTGGCCTGCCTGACATGGAGGCTGTGGCAGGTGCCGAAGCCCTCAATGGCCAGTCCGACTTCCCCTACCTGGGCGCTTTCCCCATCAACCCAGGCCTCTTCATTATGACCCCGGCAGGTGTGTTCCTGGCCGAGAGCGCGCTGCACATGGCGGGCCTGGCCGAGTACCCCATGCAGGGAGAGCTGGCTTCTGCCATCAGCTCCGGCAAGAAGAAGCGGAAACGCTGCGGCATGTGCGCGCCCTGCCGGCGGCGCATCAACTGCGAGCAGTGCAGCAGTTGTAGGAACCGAAAGACTGGCCATCAGATTTGCAAATTCAGAAAATGTGAGGAACTCAAAAAGAAGCCTTCCGCTGCTCTGGAGGTAACAGCGCCTTAGAGGGAGGTGTGTGGGCTCTTGTGTCTGTCTGGCAGTCCAAACCCACCCCCATCCCCTGACCCCACCTTTCCTACCTGGGCAAGTGTCTGGGGGATGCCCCCCCAGTCCTTGGGGTCTGGGGGTCTGGCTTCAAGACACCAGTTTACTGCCCCAAAAGTCAGAACCACATTCTGAGAATTCCATCAGGCCATAATTTGCAAGGCAAGCTTGAAATTCCAGGTAAGGACCTAGCATTCTCAGCCAGGCCCTAGAATTCTGATTCCTCTCCTGGGGTTCTGGGTCAGGTATTGATATTTCCATACAGGTCCTAAGTTTCTTTTTTTTTTTTTTTTTTTTTTTTTTTGATACGGAGTCTCGCTGTGTTGCCCAGGCTGGAGTGCAGTGGCCGGATCTCAGCTCACTGCAAGCTCCACCTTCCAGGTTTATGCCATTCTCCTGCCTCAGCCTCCCGAGTAGCTGGGACTACAGGCGCCCGCCACCTCGCCCGGCTAGTTTTTTGTATTTTTTTAGTAGAGACGGGGTTTCACCGTGTTAGCCAGGATGGTCTCGATCTCCTGACCTCGTGATCCGCCCGTCTCGGCCTCCCAAAGTGCTGGGATTACAGGCTTGAGCCACCGCGCCCGGCCAGGTCCTAAGTTTCTGATGTTCAGACATGGCCTAAAGCATCCAGTCCATGACTTAGAACTCTGCGTCTCTCCCCTGCCCTGTTTAAGGGATTCTGTTTCACAGGCTCTGTGCCCTTAAGCCCTTCATTTGCCCCTCCAGGGCCATTTTTCCCCCAAGGCCACCCAAGGATAGAGCTGCTCCAGTGCTGGGTGCCCTGCTCTGAGGCCTGGAAGAACCCTTGGTCTGGGCACCTACTTGACAGATTTTTGGGGCTGGGGTAAGGGAAGGTGACCATGAGCCCAGAGTGGTCAAGGACCTAGCCACTGTGGGATTGGCTTGGAGAAGGCAAGGGGTTCCCATGCTGCTGTCTCTGCATCCCTGTGGCAGGGCCCGTCCCTGTGCCCCTGGATGCAGCAACCTAGCTGGAGTGCCAGGCCTGGGTACAAAAGCATCTTTTCAGCCTGCAGTCCCTGCCCCTATCCCCGCCCCTCTACGAGTGGGCTTGACGCAAATGTCCAGAATGGTTGGAAAACAACAGTGGTGTATCCCAGCCATGGCCTCCTGGTTACCCTCCCCAACCCAACCCCAACCCCAACCCCAACCCCAGCCCCAGCCCCAGCCCCAGCCTTTCCATTTCTGCTCTCCTATGTACACACAAAGGCACCCACTTTAGTCCAGTGTAGACACACATGCACACACACATAGACAGGGCTGCTTGAGAAATAGCCCAAATACCCACCTCCCACAGCTCCATAACGCACAGCTCAGCATAGCACGAGGCACACACCCATATGCACACCCGCTGCACGTGCTCGCACGCTCATTTACGGAAACATGCCACAGCCACCTGGCGCTGTTGCCTTTGGGCCAGGGGAAGGGTCTTCCTCTCTGGAAGGAGGGTTCCTGGGCACAGTGGCTCAGGAGGCCTCAGAGTCCTCCGGGCCTTCCAGCAGCCCAGCAGGTCGAGCTCCTCCTTTTGCCTGGCTGGGGTGGCAGGAGCTCCGAGGGGTGGCTGCTCTTCCTCCATGCCTGTCCCTCCACCATGAGGCCATCCACGGGGGAACGTCTTTGCTCCAGGCCTACCCGGACCCTGACTGAACTCTCTCCTTGTTTTTGTCTCCTGCCCCCGCCAGAAGGTGATGCTTCCGACAGGAGCCGCCTTCCGGTGGTTTCAGTGACGGCGGCGGAACCCAAAGCTGCCCTCTCCGTGCAATGTCACTGCTCGTGTGGTCTCCAGCAAGGGATTCGGGCGAAGACAAACGGATGCACCCGTCTTTAGAACCAAAAATATTCTCTCACAGATTTCATTCCTGTTTTTATATATATATTTTTTGTTGTCGTTTTAACATCTCCACGTCCCTAGTATAAAAAGAAAAAGAAAAGAAAAAAAATTTTAACTGCTTTTTCGGAAGAACAACAACAAAAAAGAGGTAAAGACGAATCTATAAAGTACCGAGACTTCCTGGGCAAAGAATGGACAATCAGTTTCCTTCCTGTGTCGATGTCGATGTTGTCTGTGCAGGAGATGCAGTTTTTGTGTAGAGAATGTAAATTTTCTGTAACCTTTTGAAATCTAGTTACTAATAAGCACTACTGTAATTTAGCACAGTTTAACTCCACCCTCATTTAAACTTCCTTTGATTCTTTCCGACCATGAAATAGTGCATAGTTTGCCTGGAGAATCCACTCACGTTCATAAAGAGAATGTTGATGGCGCCGTGTAGAAGCCCCTCTGTATCCATCCACGCGTGCAGAGCTGCCAGCAGGGAGCTCACAGAAGGGGAGGGAGCACCAGGCCGGCTGAGCTGCACCCACAGTCCCCAGACTGGGATCCCCTACCCCAACAGTGATGATTTTGAAAAAAAAAAATGAAAGTTCTGTTCGTTTATCCTTTGCGATCTGGGGAGCCCCGTCTCGATATTTCCAATCCTGGCTACTTTTCTTAGAGAAAATAAGTCCTTTTTTTCTGGCCTCTCTAATGGCAACAGAAGAAAGGGCTTCTTTGCGTGGTCCCCTGCCGGTGGGGGTGGGTGCCCAGGGGGCCCCCTGCGGCCTGGGCCCCCCTGCCCACGGCCAGCTTCCTGCTGATGAACATGCTGTTTGTATTGTTTTAGGAAACCAGGCTGTTTTGTGAATAAAACGAATGCATGTTTGTGTCACGAAGCACCGCTGGCTTCTTGCTCTCCGGTTTTGGGGGGCTGACTTGGGGGCCGTTCTTGAGCAGGGGTTGTCTGGGACCACCTGGAGGAGGAAGAAGGATGGCCCAGGGACATTTAGAATGGGAATTTCTTGGGGAATAGAGGCCTCTGGATCCAGAATGGGCAAGAGCAGGAGCAACCAGCCCAGCAGACAGGAGGGAAAGGCTCTTAATCTGGAAGTCGCTGGTACCAGAGTACCTCATCTGCCTGGTTGCACCCCATGCCCCAGAACCTGGACCTCCAGGGACCTTCACTCACCTGGGGCCACCTCTGTTCACCGAAGTTAATCAGGGCCCGATGAGTAAAGCAACCAGCAGCATAAGGTGGGTGGGGGTAAGGCTGAGCCGCCTGTTCAGCGTCTTCTTTCTTTCTTCTTACCTGGCAGGGATCTGGTGTTCCCGAAGCCACCAATGTCATTCTCCAGGGAATAGTTTCAGCTCAGCTTCGTGGGGACCTGGCTGTGCATACACGCCCATTTCTCTTTAGGCCTGAGGGCTGCTAGACTGAGTTATAGGGGTGTCCTTGGCTTTGACTGTCCCCACTCTCAGAGAGTTTGTGGTACAAGGTTGTCGGGGACCTCAGAGGTCAAATGTCTGGGGAAGTCACCACACAGCCACATGGTCTGGGCCAGGGCAGCCTGAACAGGAAGGGGTGGCAGTGGCATGCCCCTCCCTGTACATCACAGAGGCCAACCTGAAGGAGGAGGCTTAGCCATCCTCTGGGGGAGCGTTCTTGTCATCCAGCTGCTTTGAGCCTGGCTGAGATGGAGGCTAGACTTGAGGAAGGACTTCCTGACAGTGTTGGGCCCTGGCTTCAGGTGGGTGAGAGCTGGAGCAATTTCTGAGGCTGAGTGAGCAGTGAGGTGGGGGAGATGGGCTATCTCTGCCATTGTCCTGAGAGGAGAAAGCAGCGATGTTGGGTGGGGGTGGCGCTGACCCCCAACCCCTTCCTAGGTGTCACAAGCTCCCTTCGAGCACCAGGGCCTCAGCAGCCTGGCCTGGCACAGCGGGGGCAGGCAGGGGCGGTGGGAGGCAGCTTTCAACTTCAGCTCTGCCTGGGAAAAATTCCCTTTCATGTGGCCGCCTGTGATCTCTCCAGGCGGCTCTGCCGAAGGGGGGTGTCCAGCAGGGAGTAGGGGGAGGTGTTGCAGCTGGGGGGCACCCTCACCCCCAGCACAAGGCAAACGGCGGCACCTCCAGAACCTCGAGGAGGGTGGGGAGAGTCCTCCCGTGGGGAGTGGGGGGAGCCTGGCCAGCAGGGGGCACCGGGCAGGAGGCCCCTTCCTGCCCCCGCCCGCTGCTGGCAGCACACAGGCTGCAGATGGCCTCAGCCGGCCCTCGTTGGCACACCTACAGGTGTGGGGTGGATGGCTCTGGTGCCAGCCCCGAGGGGGTGCTGTGACTCAGCCGGCCTGTACCTTTCAGTGTGCCAACCCACAGCCCAACGCGTCTCCTGAGCCCACTCCCCAGCACACAGCCGAAGCTCAGAGCTCCTCACCTGTTCCAGTTTCACGCTGCTTTGTGGAAATGGTAAGCCAGCCCCTCTGTGTTTGGAGGCCAGGGGTGGGGACAGCTGTGAGGCTGGCTGAAAACATGCTGAGGACTCAGTTACCTCATCTGGGAAACGGGACAATAATTGTTTCCCCCATAAAGTTGCCTGAGGATGAAATGCGATCACACTTGGGAAGGACCTGGCTTGTAGTAAGCTCTGTCAATGGCAGCTGGTGTTGCTATTTTTAAACTATTATTCACCTAAATCTCACCAAGATGTCCCTCACCTTCTGCCCGGCTGTGTGTCCTCCCTGAAGCCCTGGCCACCCCCACCTCCATAGAGTGGCCAAGCCTCTGGCCCTTCCCCTATCTGGGTGCAGGCCGACCCCAGCCTGCACCAGCTTTCTGTCTGTCTCTGGCTCACTCTCTGCATGTCCTGAAGGTCTCTTTCAGTCCCTGACGCTCCTGTGTCTTTGGGTCTCCATCTTTCCTGATCTCTAAGCCTCTCTGTGTCTCTGCCCCTCCTGTCTCTCCATCTCTATATCTTGTCCTCTGTCTGTTGTAGGCTCACCCCTGCTGTTCCCTGGCTGACGGAGACATCCTTAGAGGCAGGCTCCCTGGCAGGGTTGTGTACCCAATTCCCCTCGCCTCAGGTGCCCTCACCTCTCCTCTGCTACAGTTGGGAAACTGACTTCCTGGTGACCCAGGAGCCTTTCCTCTGGGTGATCTGGCATTCAGAGCCAGCTCTGGACACAGAACGGTGGGGGTTTGAGAGGCTGCGTGCACACACTGGGCTGGAGACAAGTCCAGCCTCCAGGTAGCCCTGCATGGAGAGTGTGTGTGTGTGTGTGTGTGTGTGTGTGTGAGAGAGAGAGAGATGCTTTAAGGGCCTCACAATTGCGTGAGGCTTTGTGCAGTAATGTGGCTATGTGTGACATTGGGTGTGATATGCAGATGGGTTTGTGACAGTGTATTGGAGACTCAGATGTGAGACCTGTGGCTATGGGTTGGTGTATGTCAGTGGCCACACTTTGGAATGTTCTGTGACATTGCATGTGTGATCTTGTGACATTGTACAGTTCTGTAACAGACCTGGTGTGATACCGGCTTGTACAACTGAATGTGTGACTTTGGGTGATTCTATATGAGTGTGTGACATTGGGTGATTCTATGTGAGTGTATAACTTTGGGTTTACAACACACATGGCATTGTGTGACCCTGTGGCAAAACTGGGTGATTCAATAAGTGTGTGACTTTGTGTCTGTGTGGCCATCATGGATGTGGGCTGGGACTGACCAGGGATTGTGTGTGTGTGATGTCTGTGTGACTATGGTGTGACCCTGTGATACTGCCTACATCACCCTGGGTGTGTGGTCATGGCTTTGTGTCAGTGTGCACCTGTGATCCTCTCAGTGATGCTGACGCTATTGCCTTGTGTGTCTGCCTCCAGCATTTCCTGGGTCGCCACCCTGAAAGCCGTGCATCTCTGGGGAGAGAGTGGGGGATCTGACAGCCCCTCTCACCCGCAGCCTGCGCCCTCGCATGGTCCTGAGGCCCACTCTGGATGGGGGAGCTGGCGTGGGGGCAGCAGGCGCAGTTCCCACGGCTGCTGCGGCCCCTCTCCCAGCCCCATCACCACCGGCTTCAGCTCCACAGAATATCCTGGCAACCCCAGCCTCTTTGTTCTCTGAGGCCGCCAAAGGCCTCCCCCTACCCCAGCCTGCCCAGCGCCTGCCAGGCGCCCCCTCCCCCGACAGCAGCCAGTCAGCCTGACCTAGTCTCTAGCTGCCTTTATCCCCCACCCAGACTGAGGCCCCTGTCCCATGCCCTGGACTTGACTCAGGACTCCAGACGGGGCCTTTGACCCTCTGCTCTGAGCTTGCTGTGGTTGTGCTGTGCAGGAAGAAGGAAGCAGGATAGGTCCTGCGGCTATGCTGGGTGATTGTGGGCCAGGAGCTGGGATGTCTGTATGGGTACTTCCCCTTGGCCCAAGGCTGGTTGGAGGCCCAGGGGTGGTTTCAGTTTGTCCAGTAAGTTTACTTCTTTAGCCCCCGGAGGTCATCAGGACAGGACTATTACCCATTTTACTGGTAAGAAACTGAAGCCTAGAGAGGGTATATGACTTCCCCAAGAATAAGAACAAGATGGTAGCAGGGACCTGATTAGAACCCAGGTTCCGGGCTACCTTGGGAGAAAGACCAGGTGCTTCCAAAAGAATGGAGAGGGGGCCTGGGAGTCTGGACACATGGGTCCCTACTTATTTTTTGGTCACCATGTGTCAAAGCCATGTTTGTGTTTGTGTGTGTATGTGTGTGTCCTTGCTGAATGACCTTGGCCAAGTGCCCTTACCTCTCTGTGTTCCAAGAAAGAAGGACAACATAGCCAGGGGTTGTGGGGTGGTGAGCTTGACAGGGTGCTTTGCAGAGCAACAAGGTCACCTCACAGTTAGTGCCAAGACCCACACCATCTCCAACAGGGATAGATTCTGGCTCGGGGCCCCAGGCTCAGCCCAGCTCTGTGCTGCCACAAAAAAGGAGGCAGTGATGGCTACATGGCTCGGCTGTAGTCAAGGCCACTTGGGTCTGACCTGATTGCAGCACAGGCTCCCACCCGCTCCCAGGTGCCAGAGATGGATGGATGGAGGTCACTGCACAGCCTGGCCCCAGCCCCCCACTGCCCACCCACAGCCCTGGGCTAACCAGGGACTGCTGAAGACAGCCAGCCAGGGTTAGGGGAGGGATAGGCAGCCACCAGCATGGTAATAACCCATACCTTGGCCCTAACACCCTGCAGGCATGGCACAGAGAGGCCCAGCTGTCCCCTAGGGTCACAGAGCCCTGCAGGGAGTCCTGTCCCCAAAGGCCCACATCTCCCTTGAGGGCTGTTCCTGCCACACAGGAGTAGAGAATGGCTGGGGAGGGTGGTGGAGGTGCAAGAGGGTCCCCCAAGGCTGCCGGCCAGGCTGCCAGTGCAGACACTTTCATCTCTTTCTGCCTGTCGACGTGCCAGCTCTCAGCGGCATTAAATTCCCCTCCTGCCAGAGAACAAGGGCTGCCTCAGATTCCAAGCAGCAGGGTGTGAAGATAGGGCAGTCCCAGAGGAGGTGAGCCGGGTCCTCCAGGGCTCCAGGCTTGGGTGCAAAGCGACTGGACTCTCAGGGCACAGCTGAGGGGTTCAGGTGGCTGCCTACTGCAGCCTCCCAATGCTTCGTCAGATGCTGCTTCGTTTCCTGTTGCCATCTCCCACCTGTATGATGCCTTCCTCCCGCCTTCGGAGCTTTCTTGTCCCTTGCAAACGGGGTCAAGTGTCCCTTGCCCCCTGCCCCCCACCCCCAGCCCATCACAACACTGGTCATTCCTGGTGACATCGCCTGGTCTCAGGGCTGTGGTCTGCAGCTCAGCAAGGGCAGCGCTGGCACCCGACGCATGGAAGGGGTAGGAAACATCTGTGGGCTGAGTAACACATTCTCTCCTC